CCTTGAACCAAAACACTAGCAACACGTCTTAAGGATAAAATTCCAGGTACAATAGTGGACTCCTTTTATGTAAGTAATAATTGCAGCCATTGTTATCTCCCTGTTCTCAAAGTAACCTTATGAGACAGAGGGCATCGTTACAGCCACTGGACAAAGGCTCACTGACATGTTGACTTATGGAGTAAACCCTGAGTTCCAGTGCTGGAGTCTCAGGCCAGCTCCACTATGACGATGCTCACATTCTTAAAGGGGAGGCAGACAACTCATAAAACATAATGCAAATGCTAGAGCTGTCCATCAGTGGCCAAGTGCTTGCTTAACATGTAGCAAAGCTCTGGGGTCCCCAGCGTTGCCCAACTAAACAAAACACAGGGAATATCAGGTTGAGATGAAGTACTCTGAAGAAAGGAACACAAAACAATTCACAAGAGCTACGGAAGATGGAGGGAAGATGGGGGGGGGGGGCGTGCCACAGACCCAGATGTCAAGGAGTGGGCTGTGTACAAACTTGGGAGAAACCTCAAAGTTGAAGAAAGCCTTGATTGGCTGGGAACAGAATTCAGTTGGTAGAGTGGTTGCTGAACACACACAAACATCCATTCCCAGCAGTCAGAAGCAGGGCTCTTGGGAGGTGGAGGCAGGAGGATCAGAAACTCAAAGTTTTATCTTTGGCTTCATAGAGTTCCAGGCCAGCCTGGGCTACATCGTAAAGGAAAGGGGAGAGGGAGGAAGAGGAAGAGAGAGGAGGAGGGGCAGGAAGAGGAGGGGGGGAGGAAGAAAAGGAGGAAGGGGAAGAGAAAGAGGAGGAGCAGAAAGAGAAGGGGAAAGAGGAAGAGGAGGGGGAGGAAGAGGAGGCAGCATTGGCTCTGGTGTGGTCAAGGGATAGCCAGGGAGAACAGGGTGGGCAAGCAGGGGCAGGCCCCAAAGTTTTGTGAGTCAGATGGGAAGTTTGGCTTCAATTCCAAGTGCAGCCAGATCAGCTGGAAGGATCTGAGCATGCTGTGGGAGGCAGCGCTACACAGACGTCTCGGTCCTAATCCCCAAAGTCTGCAAGCGTGTTCCTTCACATGGCAAGAGAATCTCACAGCTGTCGTCAAGGATCTCACTGATGGGAAGTTTGTCTTAGATCGTCCAGGTGGGCCCCGAGTCATCGCAGGAGTTCTTACAAAACCAAGGCTCAAGAGTCCAACTCAGAAAAGGAGTTGTGATGACAGAAGCCAGGGCAGAAGTGATGCAGGGAAGGGACCACAAGCCAAGGGATGCAGGCAGCCTCTAGTGAGCAGCAAACAGCAGGAAAACACATCTACCCAGGCTGGGTGAGATGGCATATGCCAGGACTCTGGAGACTGAGACAGGAGGATTCCAAAATGGGATGGAAAATTATTGGAAGTTTGGACGGTAGATGGATAATAGCTCCGTGGTAGAGCCCTTACCTACAGTGTATCAGCCCCTGAGCCTCTGACCTGTCTTGTTGTCCCCAGGAGCCTCAAGTGTTGAGAGGCCCAAGAGGAGAAGCCTGTAGTGGGTCCTTCCACCCCTCAGCACCGTGAGCCCTGCTCAGCCTGGCTGGGGGTTGCAGGCAGCTGAGATGCAGAGATGAGGCCCACATAGAAGTCAGCACCCAGGAGTAAGGAGAATCAGGCAGGTGAAACCATGCATTTCTGTCATCCCAGCACTTGGGAAGCTGAGGCAGAAGGACAGCCATGAGTTCAAGGCCAGCCTGAGATAGATAGTGAGCCTCTGCCTCAAAAAGAAACCAAAAAGAAGACCTGGAAGACAGCTCGGTAGGCAATGTGTTTTATGCATAAGAATGATGACCTGACCTGGATCCCCAGCACCCGCTAAAAAGCTAGGTGTGATAGCAGGTGCCTGTAACCCCAGCTCTGGGAGGATGAAGACAGCAGGTCCTTGGGGCTCACTAGCCAGAGAGTCTAGCCAGGTTCAGTGAGAGATCCAGTCCCCAAAACAAAAGTAGAGAACCATCAATCAAGGACAATGTGAGGCAGCAGGAACAGCGGAGGCGGGAAGAGGGTCTTACAGTCTGTGAGTTCAGGAAAGGAATCCTTTGAGTGAGGCCAAGACAGGTGGCCATGGCTGTGGGAGAGGAGGCAGAGAGGCAAGGTCAAGTATGTCCACATTGTCTAGAATGTTCCAGAAGAGTCAAGGGGTAGAAAGTGGAGGATGGGTGGGTAAGAGGATACTTGAGCCTGCCACAAAGAGCTCTTTCAGAAAGATGTCTCCATGTTCCCTGAGCAGGACAGGGGATGCAGAAATGTCACCAAAGAGAGGGAGGCAGGAAGGAGAGCTGAGGTCCACCCTGGGGCAGGAAAGGTGAATAGGTTTTCCGCCTCTGCTGGCGAAGGCAGAGACTCAGAGGAGAGGTGTTTATGGAGGCACAGAGCCTCTAAGAGAGGCCACAGTGGCTTTTGTCGAGGGAGGCTGAGGGAGAGAGAAAAGAACAGACAGCGTTGTTGAGCTTCTAAACCAGTCTCACATCAGCTCTTCTTGATGGGAGAGATAAGAAATCTCTCTAATCCTAAGCCTCCTTGAGTCAATGAAGGTGCTGAGGAAGTCCCTGCTAGGGGGAAGTGACATGAAGCACAGGGACATTTGCTAATATGTAGCAACTCCACAGACTCTGATGAGAATGACTTGAGCTTGAAGAAGGAGCCATACAGCCCGAGCATCACCTGAGTAGGCCTGCAGAACCACAGAGGCATGGACCATTCTGGCTACCATGACAACCCTGGCCGTCAAATAGCCCCTGAGTCTGTCCGTGGTGCTGGGGTCTGAAGGATACATGAGATACAAGCCCTATCCATTGGGAGCTCAGGTCCAGCCAAGGGCAGACCAGGATGGGTGATGTTCCTCACATGTGACTGACATTTTGAAGCTGAGAAGTGTAAGGGAAGAGGTGTCCAGAAGAATCCACAGCTGTAAATGTTGAGGAAGCACAACCTTGTTGGGGGAAATTCTAATCCTTTCCTAGGCCAGTTGCTTTAGAGGCTGTGCATCTCTGAGCAATTTACCTGATATCTCAGAGACTCTGAATTCACACCAATAAGCAAGGGGCAGGAGGAGCCGGCAAGATGGCTCTGCAGGTAAGGGGTTTGCTACCAAGCCTGACCACCTGAGTTCAATCCCCAGGACCCACAGGAAAGCTGACTTCCACAAGTTGTCCTCTGACCTCCATGTGCCTGTGTGCATCTCCTCCACACACTAAATAAATAAATAGATAGATAGATAAATAAATAATGTAAAGAAGGGGGCAAGGGGGGGAAAAGAGTCAGGTAGTTAGGAAATTAGGCCATAGACTGTACATTTGCAAATCAGCGCTTGGACTATATTAAATGTACAGGAAAAGTTCTTCCCTATGCCTCCATTGGGTCACATGCTCTAACCCCCTATCTCCACCCAGAGGCCTTTCCCCCTTTCTCACCCATTCCTGAGCCACAGAGCTGCTCAACTCCCATAGACTTCCTCAGGCGAGAAACCTGAGCCCATGCCCAGCACTGACAGCTTCGCCTTCTAGGGCTGCATCTCTCTCTCTCTCTCTCTCTCTCTCTCTCTCTCTCTCTCTCTCTCTCTCTCTCTCTCTCTCTCTGCAACAAAATAAAACCAAACAAAGGCCCAACGCCTGGCGTGGCTGGTCAGGGAGTTATGCAAGTGTGTAAAAAAATAAAATAAAATAAACAGTGCGTTTTCGGCATTTAGGGCTGTTTGATTAGGTGCAGAGCGTGGCCAAGGGCTGATCGGACCCAGAAGAGGCTGGGGCAGCGGAGCGGGGAGGGCCTCTGGAGGGGGGCTGGAGGGCCCTGGACCAGCCCCTACAGACTCGGGGAGGCTTCTGAGTGTGAGCCCAGACACTGTGCATCGGATAGCCAGCAGCTTCACTTCCTCTGGCTAGCTACCCTGCTGCTCCCTGGCCATCGGAACACCCCAGGGGCCTTTCAACCCTTGCTACCACCAACCACCACCACCACTCTCCCATCACTACCAGCGACCCTGTGCCCTTGGCTCAACAGTCAGGGCTCCCTCCTCCTCTTAAGGAGATCCCACAGCCTGTCTTCATTACTCACCCCCCTTCCCCCGCCCCCGTCATCCCATCCTCTGCTGAAACTGAGCACACTACAAATGCAGTTTGAGTTTCTCTCCATCCAGTCTGAAGGGAGGGTGGGAGACAGCTGTTTGCCACCCTCAGGCATGTGGCCCCCTCCGTCCTTTTTTCCTCTAAGGTTGGACTTCAACCTTCCTCTAGGTCACTGCAGGTGTCTGTCACCCTTCCTTGCTCACTTTCTCATCTTAAAAACATTTTTCGAGTTCCTGCCCGGAACTGGGCATCGGCATCCTTCATTTCACGGAACCCTCAAAACAGATGAGAACCCGGAGGAGGTTCAGAGAAGTTAAGTAACTTTAGTCCTGGCCACAGAGACGATGCACGAGGGAGCAGGGATGTATTGTGGGATGGCCCACACTGATTCCAGTGGGAAACCTTCCTCACCCTGGTCTTCTCAACTGGTCAGATGCACTGAAGGTCTGACCCTGAAGGGAAGGAGGGTGTGGCCGGGCCACCAAGCCCTGCTCGTTCTGTACCTGCCCCCTTTCCAATATTCTGATGGAGGGCATGGGCCTTGGCAAGAGTCCTGGGCCCCCGCTCCTGACCCAAGAAGAAGTGGTGCGGGGCGGGGAGAGGCAACGTGAGCTCGCGGCGTTCGCCACGGTGCAGACGGCGCGTCCCTAGTCCGGGTGTGCGGGAGGGGGCTACGGAGTCCCGGGCCCGGCGCTCCAGTCCGTTTTTTCTTGCGGATCGGGCAGGGGGGCAGGCCGGGGGTGGCGCCGGGGGATTCCCTCCCTCGTGCGAGCCGGGGACCGGCCCCTCTCCGGGCGCGGGGCGCAGAGCCCGGGCGGCGGACTGCGGGGGCCCGCGCGGGCGGCCCCAGCACCAATGCGCCGGGCGTGGCGCTGGCGACCGAGAGGGCGTTGAGCAACTGGGCGGCGGGCGGAGCGCGGGGCCGACGGCAGCGCGGGACCCAGTGGCCGCGCCCTCGCCCCTTCGGGCTGCCCCGCCGCGGCCACTGCGCCAGGTGAGTCCCGCTGCCCGCGTCGTCCGCCCCGGGTCCCGGGTCCCCGTCGGGGCGCAGCCGGAGCCGGGGAGGCAGCGCAGAGCCCAACCCCATCCCGTTGTCCCGCCGCACATCAGCCCGGGGCACCCCGCCCCGATTCCCCAACCGCGACCCTCCCGCCCCAGCCGTGCCCCCACGCACCCCAGCTGCAACCCAGCTGTGACCCAACCCTGACCCACACGACCCAGCCCCGCCTCGAGTCCCCAGCCCCAACCCACCCACCCTCAGCCGTGCCCCCACGCAACCCAGCTGCAACCCAGCTGCGACCCAGACCCACCTGGAGTCCCTAGTCCCGACCCACGCGACCCAGCCGCGACCCACGCACCCTAGCTGCGACGCAGCTGTGACCCAACCCCTACCCACGCGACCCAGCCTGGCTAGCGTCGACCGAGTCCCTCCTCCTAGCCCGACGTGGTAAGGCCCATGCGCTGTGCAGTGGCCTGGCTGAGAGAGGTGTGCTGCGGCCACCCAGGGGTGTCGAGATGGGCCCAGCTCAGGAGACCCGATCCTGCGTATTTGCAGTGCTCGTGGGGAGATCAGCCACGAGCTGGGGACATGGGGGTGGGGGGCAGCGGGTCCGCTTCCCGGGCACCTGTCAAGGCCTTGCTGAGAGAGAAGGGAGGATGAATGGATGTGAGCGCGGCAGGCGCACGCAGGGAGTGGAGCCTCTCTCTGCGCTCTGGGTTTGGGGCCGACCGGGTGGGAATAGTCCCCGCGCCGCGCCTGGTGTGCCTCTGCGATACCCACAGGTTCCATTGGCACGCACTCAGTCCCGCCCCCGCCCCGAAATACTTCGGCTTCTTCCTGGCAGCCGGTTGTTCCTCGGCCGGTGGCCGATCTTAGGGATGGGAGTGTTGGCTAATGAGAAGTCATCGACATGGTTTGCATTTTTGGGTCTGCATCCGACATCTGACGGAATACCAATTTATCCTAACAGTGTTGTTGCAGACAAGGAGGTGAAAGTTATCCCAACCCCCTACTCAGGCTGAGTTCCCGCCCTCAGCTCCACCCGCGGCTGAGTCCCCCCTCCCCAGCGTGAGTCCTCCCTGTAGGTCCTCCCCTCCCTGACCCATGTGACCTCAGTTTGTGATCTCTGGCCAGCTCAGCTTCTAGCCCCCAAGACGCTTCACCTGCCCTGGTCCATCCCCAGAGCCGTAGTGACCCACAAGCCTCAGCTCTCTGCAAAGGCCAGCCTCAGGACACTCAGAGCCGAGTAGCAATCTAGCTTTAAAATCTTCCTGTCTTTAACTCCACAGGACCATGTTTACCTGTAATCCAACCTTGCTCCTTCATTTGTGATGGGGTAAACGAGGGTCTAGGTGGGAGGGGGTGCGCAGTTAGTGGGACTCTGCCCTAGCCAGCAAGGCTGTTCTCACCAGCACCAATGCCACGGGCCTTGAACACTATCCACAGCTCTTTCCGGTAACAGGGTATAATGAACCCTCTAAAATGAACTTGGGAGCTGTAAGAGTTCAACACCCAAAGTAAATCAGAAACTATGGATACAAGGAGGGATATTTACAAGTCGGTCCTCTGCCCCTAGCTCTTCTCCCTGCCCTCCTCCACAGTGTCAGGGTCTCCTTAAGTACCCAGGTAGGAGCTGGAGTAGCTGGAGGGAAAGGGAACCCGGGAGGCAGGAATCTGTGGCCCTGGGGACTTGGTACACAGAGTCTCTGATCTAATTCACTCCTGCAAGATGTCAGATAGCCTGGAGATATTATGTCAATGTTTCCTGCCAGAGATCAGCTGCACCTTCATAGGGAGGACTGCACCTTCATAGGGAGGACTGCTCTGCCTTTACCCACACTGCTTTGCTCCTGTTGCTTATACTCCCCGGTATGGATGGACTTTTAGCTCGTTTGCCTTTTTGAGATAAAGATACACAGTGCCCAAAACATTTGAAATTCTTTCTGGGGGAAGCAGGCGCCCCCCTATGCCAATGAAATACACCTCTGCCCCGCCTCTCTATCCCAAGAAAGACAGGTTTCCAGGAGATCCCATGGGGGTTGGGAAGAAGTTCTCAGGGGCAGGGACTCCAGGGACCTGATGAGTATGGCAGGCTGGGAGGATGGAGAAGGAGTAGAGAGTGAGGAGGGCCAGGAAGGAGTTGCCATCAGCTGGGCTGCTCAGCCCTTGCCCTTGAAGTACCAGGCGCCATTCCGTGGGCGCCAAGAGTACAGACACATCCAGGAGATCCTTCCTGACTGGTGGACTCCACACAATGACACCAAAGTCAAAGACCCAGGCTTGACCCTAGACTTGTTGGAGTCAGTGTGTTTGCAAGCCCAAGGGCTGGCGGATCAGAGCTGCCTGGTCCTAACACCCTGACGGACACAGGCTTTCCTGAGAGGTGACAGCTTCAGGGCCAGGGCCACCAGCCACAGAGACATATGCAAATGTGGCAGTTGAGCCCCGGGGGGGGGGGGGGGTTCGCATTTAACTTAGCACCTAGATGATTCAGAAGATGTTAAATTCCTTTGTCCAGGGCCATAGGAACATTGACACACAATGAAACCTCATTCACAAAAAAAAATATTACTGCATTAACTGGGACCCCACTGTTACCCACCCTGTTCTGAGCAAGTTATAGATGAACTTGCCTAAACTATACCCAAGCCAGACTCTTGCAGGTTAGAGAGCAGGCTCCGAGATTCTAGACCAGTAACTCAAAGTAACACAGTTAATACGCCAACAGGGTTGGCCTTGCGGGTCAGGCAGGCTGACTCTGAAGTCCGTACCCAGGACCACCAGGGTCCACAGCTAGCCCCTTGGCTGGATCTCCATGGCTGTGGGGGCTGGAGTGTGACATAGGGGCTGGGAAGTTTTGGCATGAAGGACTTGGCGGGGGGGGGGGGGGGGGGGGGGGGGTGGAGCGGGGGGGGGGGAGCGGGGGGGGGGGCATAGGCAGTGGCAGCTGACCGGGCACCAGAGGTGGGGGGGGGGCATCTCCCGCTGGCTCCAGCACCAGCACCAGGTGGGATCCATCAGGCTCATGTAAACACTTCTCACAGGCAGCTTAACCACTTGAGTGTGTCTGGCCTTCAAAGCCAGCGGGAGAGGCCGAAGAGGGAGGAGGGAGGAGGGAGGTACCGAACTCCCTCTGGGGGTAATGATTTATCTCCAGTGCAGGTGGGCGCTGCTGGGGCCTCTCTGGGAGGCCAGGGGGGTAGACTGGGCACAGAGGAGCTGAAGGGGAGAGAAGAGAAGGCTGGAGGCTCCATGCTAGTATCTCAGATTTCTCATTAGTAAGCCAAAACAACTTAGAGCGAGCGAGCGGAGAACCAATCCCCATTTCACAGATGCAGAGCCTGAGGCTCAAGGGGGAGAAATGACTGTTCCAAAGACAGCTAGCCCCTGGGCAGAGCCTCCCGGGGGAGCAGGTCAGATGCTCGCCCTGGGAGCCTAAGTGGGTGTGCTGGTGCGCCTTCTAGGCCGTGTGCGGGCGAGCGAGCCTCTGTTGTGAGTGTATGACCCTGTGAGTGGGAACGGAGCTGTCACCGGTGCTCCTTCGGTAACCCTGAAGCTCAGATGCGTCGGGCAGGGACGGGTGCCCCTGCCCCCACCACCCTGGCCACTGGGTCCAGAGCCCTGGCTCTCTCTGGGCTGGGGGATTATCGCCATTCTCTGTGTTTCTGGCCAGGGCGGGCATTGCTGCCGTTTTTATCCCCTCACAAAAGCCAGGCCCGCCCAGCCTGCTGTGTCAGAGTTTCTGTGGCTGGGGGGGGGGGACCCTCACTTCCTTTTCTCCCTCCAACCCCAGAGGGCCATGCAGAGTCTGCCTGCTTGCCAGAGGCCACTGCTCTAACTTCTGGATTGGGACAGGTGAAAGGCACATGGGTGATTCAGCACCAGGAAGAGAAAGCTGAGGAGTCACTCACAGGAGGACAAAGAGAGCTCCTTTTCAAATGTCAGGATATTCTTGCAGCATGAGGTCTGTAGGGTAGACTTAAAGAAGGACTTCCACTTAGAACTAGCCATTATTAGTCAGAGGAGGCCAGCTGGTTTAATGTGGGTATTCGTTGTATTCCAGTAACTCATGTTGCTGGCCCCAGTGTTGGGATACAGGATGCTTGGAGATAGGAGGATGAGGTTTCTTCCTCAGGGGTGCCTGGTAGGGAGGTGTCCAGACCTCCTGAATTCTACAAAGTCCAGGGCAGGGAAACCCAAAGGAAGCGAGGAGGTATAAATTAGGGGTTACAGGCACCATGGACCTAACCCTTCTCTCTCCTTACCCACAGGTCTATCTTGGGGGTAGTTCTCTACTGAAGTAACAAGACTTCCCATGTGACCCTCTGAGGTGGTTTCAAGCAGGACCTCCCTTTGTCGGACCGATGGAGAACCCCGCTCCATAACTGCTCAGTCCGCAGCTGAGAGTATGGAGGATTTGGGCTGCAGCCCAGGCTTGGGCCTCCTGCCACTGAGCCAGCCTCAGAGCCTTTAGCAAGAGACCACCCCTCCCGCCAGGGGCCCGGGGCTGGCCAGTGACTATGCGGCTTGGGCTGTGTGTGGTGGCCCTGGTTCTGAGCTGGACACACCTCGCTGTGGGCAGCCGAGGGGTCAAGGGCAAGAGGCAGAGGCGGAGTGAGTACCTACTGGGCTGAGCCTTGGTGTGGGCGGGGCCGGGGACCTGTGATGGCTGTTTCATTCCTGCCTGCTTTGTGAGGGCTGCGGATTATCCGGTGGGCGGTTTCATTTGTTGAGATGTACTGGGCTGTAAACCTCTCACTATGGACCTTTTCCTCCTCTTTGAGATCTGCTTTCTGGCTCAACGCCTCTCTAGGAGGCCCTTTGACCCAACACCACTTTTGTAGGGTATCCATGGTGATGCTTCCTGCTGTGGAGAGAGTCCCTGCCTGAGATACCCCCCCCAACCCCCCCCAACCCCCCCCCATCCCCGCTTCCCCCATCCAGGCTCAGGCCTTCAGGGCACCTCTCTGAACTGCAGCCCTTTGGACAGGGGGCTCTGCACAGCTGGGCAGCAGGCACCCAGCTTCCCTTGCTAGAAGGCAGAGAAGGGTAGGTGAGTTTCTCCAGTAACTTAAACCTGTGGGATTCCCGGAGCTGGAGCCAGCGCGCCCTTCAAAGAGGGCAGCTTCCAAGACAATGACCTTCCCATGTAAGGCGTCCTGCAAGAGTTCTGAGCATAAGAAAAGCCCATAGTCCCAGTGCTGGGGACTGGGACAGGATTGCCATGGCTGATGCCAGAGTTTGATGGAATACAGGGAGAGAGACCCCTGTTTTAAAAATCAAAACTAGGGGTTGGGGATTTAGCTCAGTGGTAGAGCTAGGCAAGCGCAAGGTCCTGGGTTCGGTTCTCAGCTCTGAAAAAAAAAATCAAAACTAAAAAAGAAAGAACAGGGTGGGTAGATTGCTCAGTGGTTAAAAGTGTTCACTGCTCTTGCAGAGGACCTGGGTTCCGTTTCCCAGCGCTCATGATGGGCAGCTCACAACTCCAGGGGTATGACACCTCTGAGTTCTGTGGACACCTGCACTCATGTGCACATACCCCTCCCCCACACCCACATACATAAGCTTAATTAAAAATAAATATGAAAGAAAGGAAAGAATGGCAAGTCCAGTTTTCTTTTCTTATTTGAGACATAATCTTGCTACGTAGCCCTGGTTGGCCCAGAACTCTCTATGTGGGCCTCTAATTCACATTCATCCCCCTGTCTCAGTCTTCCTAATGCTGGGTTTGCAGTTATTCGTCATAGAGCCCAATGAGCCGGGTGTCCTTTAAAACAGTTTGCTAAAGTGCAAAGTTAACGTGTCAACTTCCTGGCCTGACGCAGGCGTCCCTTACGCTCCGCTCAACAGCTGCAGTTATGGGAGCATCGTGTGTGCCGGGAGTGGCCAGCGTATGCTAGTGACCCTGCCAGAGAGTTGGGTGGGGGCCTCCGGCTCCCAAGGCCTTGTCCCTCTTTCGAGATCCCCCATCAAGGACTGTCATGTCATGCAGGCAGGAAGTCTTCCCGAAGTCTCGCCCAGTTCCCCCTTGCTTCACTTTTCTCATGGGACTGATGTCCGCAAGCCAGAGAAGGCTGAGGGCCAAGGCTCTCCCCAGGAGGGAGGCTCAGGGAATTGGTGAAGCCAGAAAACCACCAGCTTAACAAACAGTTAGGGACGGTGAGGTTCCAGCGGCAGCAGTGAGTCCTCTCACACCCCTCCCCACGTCTCTGTTGTGGCCAGTGTTTTGGACTCTGTGGGCCAGATGCAGTTTAGTGGTTTATAATCAGTCTCCATTATTTCCGAAATGACATAGAGATGATGAGACAGGGTGGAGGCGGGGAGCAGGCCACTCGTGGAACAGGCACAGCGATCTTGCTCACCCACAGGGGATCACATGCCCACTGACACAAGGGGTCATCAGACCCGGGTCCAAGGCAGAGGAACTGACGCACACGCAAGCTCTGAAGTGGGATTTAGTAGGCCAGCTTCTAGACATGGCTATCAAACGTAGCTATTTCCATAGGCTTGACTTTGACCCAGCCACAGTGGGCAGTTTGTGCATCGGCTTGTATTCCTGGTGCATGTCAGGATGCAGGGCAGGGCAAGGGAGCGCTCTGTTGCTATGAGGGTCACCAGGCCTGAGGGTGTGTGCCGTCAGTTGGTACTTGTTGCTTGGTGATCCTGCAGCACTCCCTGTGAAGCTGTGATGTCACTGCACAGAGGCACAGCCAGACATCTAGGGGATGACAGATAGCAATGGGGTACACCGCTGGCTTCTTCATGTGCTGGGGACAGGACCAGGGCCTCAGGCATGCACACCCCAACCTCGGATGCATATGTAGACGTTACGTGTATTTATATATGTAAAAATAGTGTGTGCCTGTGTGTTCGTGGGGGGAGGGTGCTAGGACACTATTATTGGAGGGTGGCAGTCAGAGGACAGTCTTCAGGGGTCAGTCTTTACCTTCGCCCCTTGCCTGAGACAGGATCTCTTCACTGCTCTGAGCCAGGCTACCTGGTCTGTGAGTATCAGGACAGTCTTCTCCCATTTTCCACACAGGTGTAACAGGACTAAAGATGCTTTTGCTATGGGGTCCAGCCTTTACATGGGTCCTGGGGAATCCAAAATCAGGCCATCAGGCTTGTGTGGCAAGTACTTTTATCTGATGAGCCATCTCCACAGCCTATTTTTCTTTTTCTTTCTTTCTTTTTTTTAAAGAACTTTTTATGTATTTATGTATGGATTTATTTATTGGGGTGGGGGGGTTTCAAGACAAGGTTTCACTGTGTAGTCCTGGAACTCAGCATGTAGAAACTCACTGAGGACTGCCTGCCTCTGCCTCCCGAGTGCAGAGATTAAAGGCGTGTGCCACTACTGCTTGGCTTAAAGCATTTTTTGTACGACATAAGGTCCCACTCAGACTTCATTTTGTGCTTTGGTCTCTGGGCATCGGGGAAGGGAAGAAGGAAAGCCAGGGCATGTGTGGAAGGGCATCGGGCAGCGGCCCCCTGAGGAGGCGGCTTGATGTGCAGAGGAGCCTTTGGCTTTTGCCTGACCGCCACCCCTCTTGGGCCTGTCAGTCAAACTCCAGCAGCCACTCGCGAGGTCTGATTGGTTCTCTGGTGGTTTGAACCTGGACATGGGTGATCTTGAGGTCTGAGAGATGGTCTCCCTGTATGGAGCGGGAGAGAGCAAAGAAAGGACATCCGGTTGGCCTGGGTCATGAAGCTCAGGGAAGCCCTCCTCCCGCTCACCGAGGAGCCTCTTCTTCCCTCTTTCTTGCCTCCCGCCCTCTAGGGTCTCTGAATCTCTCTTTCTTGCCTCCCGCGCTCTAGGGTCTCTGAATCTCACTAAGCTCTCTTTCACCCCAGCTCTTACACCCAGAGCACTTTCCCTTGGTTCCTTTTCCTATCTGATTCCAGGACTCCCTACTCAGCCCTGCCCTGAGCCCTTCCTACCCCTTCTCACTGCCTGGCCCCAGTCTGGCGCCGGCATCTCTCACTGCGCATGCTCCAGTCCCGCCCCCTCATTCAGTCCTTTCTCACTCCTTGGAAACAACACTGAAAATCAGTGGATACAGCCATGATGGTGAAAATCTGTAATCCTAGCTCTTGGGAAGTTGAGGCAGGAGGATTGTTGATTGTTATGAGTTAAAGGCTAGCCTGGGCTACATAGTGAGCCTAACCTGGACTACAGTGTGAAACCCTGTCTAAAAAGAAAGGAGGAAGAGAAAGCTCCTCACCTATGGCAGATGGAGCTTGAAAAGGACTTGGGACGGGGAAGACACCGGTCAAGCCTGTGTTGTGAAACTAGGGAGCACAGCATCTGAGAGAGGAGCTGGGGAGGACTTGAGTGTCTGCTCTAGAAGTGGATGAAGCCAGAAGGAGCCGGGAGCTGGTTAACCACAAACTTCAGGGAGTGCAGGGCACTTAGCTCTCCCAACCCCCACGGTGGGCTCTGTCCCATAGGAAGCCAGCACCCTTTGGAATGGAACCCCCACTGGTTGGGATGAAGCTTCCCACCGTTGGCATGGAGTCCCTGCACCCGGTTGCCTAGGGCTGCATGCAAGCTGGGGAGTCCCTGCTGCAGGGAGGAGCAGAGACCAGCTGGCCTCCCTGCCAGGATAAGGAGTCTGGACTTGCCCTCTCTTAAGCTGCAGCTGGGGAGAGGCCACCAAGAAGCTTCCAATGGAGAGCTGGGCCAGCCTTTGGGAAGGCAGGGAGAGAGCATGCCGAAGGGCAGCTGGCCCCTTGAGAAACAGTGAGGATCTACACCAAACTCCCTTCGAGTTAGACTCCCAACCCCCATGGGCTCAGTGAACAAGCAACAGATAGCCTCTGGTCCAGGGAATGCAGGATTAGACCCCACTCCAAGAAGGGCCCATGTTACCTTTTCCTGCTTTCCTTCTCTGGGCCTCATTCCTCATCTTCTACCCACCAACATGCCTCGGGCCTCTCTTACTGAATCCCGCTGTTCCGAAGCTGGAGTTCACCCCACAAACGCTGTCGCTGTCACCGTCCCCACAGACTCCCTCATTGACCTAGCCCACCTGAGTTCCCCCATGTGCCCAGCACTCTCTACACTCCAGTGGATGCTTGCTACCGTCTTACGCCCACCACACACCCTCCTCGAGACCCCACACCACACACTACCCTCGGCCCAACACTAGAAAGCTCCACCCCTTGTGAGTCTCAATCCTTCCCTGGACTCCTGTTCAGAAACAAGACAGATTCTGCCCTCCCGGGCCCTTTCTAGTGAGGAGGAGACATCTCAGCAGAAAGAGCAACAAGAGATTATGTCTATTATCCAAGAGATTATATCTACCATGATGGATTCAGATGTTAGGGAAAGGTGACCACAGGAAAAGACCCCATCCAGACTTGCAGGGAGGTGATCAGGGAGGACTTCCTGGTGGAGAGAAACAGTTCTGAGGCTGTGAAGGCTGCAGAGTGTTCTCGGCTAATGGGCTGACTTAGACAAAGGCATAGAAGATCGAAAGAGCGGTGTGTTTTGGGAAATGGTTACTGCTTGGGGTTGGGTTGAGGAAGGAGGTGGGTGGGATTACCTCAGGGAAACTTTCTGGCTCACTGGAAAGTAGGTCTTACTTTTAGAAGTGATACAGTGTTTCAGG